TCCTACTGTACATATACATATATATTACGATTAATCTCAAAATTATAATAGCTTCTACTGAGTATGAGTATACTATAAAATTATACGCGTCTATTCGATTAATAGTTTATTACATAAAATATATAATTATTTTGTACTTACATCTTGCAGTTCCATGTTCAAATTAGTATTTGCACATTTATACTTGAGGCGACGTCGCTCAAAGTTAGATGAAATCCAACTTTCCAAAAGTATCGCTGGCGACAAGAAGGTAACCAAATATCTAGTGAGAATTTGGTCACGTGACTACTTGTCGCTGCGACAAGCGACCATGGACATAGAAATATAGGGACAGAGCATAACGTTGCGGGGGGGAAGCCACTGCGGGACGGTGCGACGAGGTAATACATGCCTAAGTCTGATTGGTTGTTATTGTACGCATGCGCAAGTGACAAGTGTGATATATGTGCATGCAACTCTAACCTCTAACTGGGTTCAAGTCTCAGCACCGGTGAAGTCCTGACATTTTTTCTCGGCTTAGCTCTCACATAATATCTTGAAATTAAAATGGTGCAATGTTGTGTACCGAATTGTAGAAATAGATCCGACATTTAAAATTGGAAATGGACAAGCAGTGTGAACAAAAATCGTAAAATTACATTGTAATTTATGTATTTTTTTTATTACACTCTGTTCTCTGTTCCTTTTATTCTGCATAGCTTCTAAGTATTTTAATACGTATATTGCCTTGGATTATTATTATTATTAATTTATTTTAATACGTTTTTTTTTTTATAAATGTTACTCTCGAGAAGAGTATAACAAATTTTGGTTTCACATTTTCAAGCAATATCACATGTTATGGAAAAATTCAATTCTATAATTTTTATTCTACGTAGTATTATATAATCCATCTATATAAATCTAAAATCCTAATTTGTATTTTTTTTATCTACACTAAGAAAAAAATTTGTGGTGTTAAATTTTAATAAATATTTCTTTGAAGTGTCCTAATGGAATATTTACTTATGGTAAATAAATATTTAGATAAATGAAAAAAATGATAGTTGATTCAAACTAATGATTCTTAGATCTAATAAATAC